TTTTTTTTTTTTTGAGACAGAGCTTCACTCTTGTTGCCCAGGCTGGAGTGTGATGGCGTGATCTTGGCTCACTGCAACCTCCGTCTCCTGGGTTCAAGTGATTCTCCTGCCTCAGCCTACTGAGTAGCTGGGATTGCAGGGGCCCACAACCATGCCCAGCTAATTTTTGTAATTTTAGTAGAGACGAGGTTTTACCATGTTGGCCAGGCTGGTCTCGAACTCCTAACCTCAGGTGATTTGCCCACCTCAGCCTCCCAAAGTGCTGGGATTACATGTGTGAGCCACTGCACCTGGCTGTGTTTTTGTACTTTTTAACAAGGTATTTTGTAGAGCACAAGTTTTAATTTTGATGAAGTCCAATGTATCATTCCCCCCAACTGGCGCCTTTTTTTTTGGCAAGGTCTTGCTCTGTCACCCAGGCTGGAGTGCAGTAGCGGATTCACTGCTGCCTGGACTCTTGGGCCAAAGCTATGTTCCTGCATCAGTCTCCTGAGTAGCTGGGACTACAGGTGTGTACCACCACACCAGACTAATTTTTTTTTTTTTTAATTTGGTCTAGAGACGCCGTCTCCCTTTGTTGCTCAGGCTGGTCTCAGACTCCTGGGCTCAAATGATATTCCTGTTTTGGCCTCCCAAAGTGCTGAGATTCCAGGCATAAGCCACTGCACCTGGCCTCAATTTTTTCTTTTATGGATTGTATTTTTGGTGCCATGTCTAAGAACTCATCACCAGGTTGTAGGTCCCAAAGATTTTCTCCTATTTTATCTTCTAAAAGTTTTGCAGTTTTACATTTTATATTTAAATCTAGGATCCATTTTGAGTTTATTTTTGTATAAGTTTCGTTTGAGGTTTTTTGTTTGTTTTTGTCCTATGGGTGACCAGTTGCTACAGTTTGTTGAAAAGACTATGCTTCCTCCATTGAATTGCTTTTGCACCTTTGTCAAAAACCAATTGGACAAATTTGTGTGAACCTATCTCCAGGCTCTCTATTCCATACCATTTATCTATATGCCTATCCTTTCACCAGTACCAAAAAGTTTTGATTACTGTAGCTTTACAATAAGCCTTGAAGTCATATAAAGAGATTTATGTGTTGACCTTGTATCCTGCAACCTTGCAAAACTCACTTATTAGTTTTGGGAGTTATTTTTGCACATTCCTTGAGATTTTCTATGGAGACAATGATGTTATCTGCAAATCGAGACTTTTTTTCTTCCCAATCTTTATGCTCTTTGTTTCTTTTTCTTATCATCTTTCTGTACTGAACTAGAACTTCTAGTACTGTGCTGAATACAAGTGGTGAGAGTAGATATCCTTGCCTTGTTCCCAATTGAGGGGAAAGTGTCCAGGAAGGAGGATGTTACTTGAAGGTCTTCTGTAGATGTTCTTTAATAAGTTGAGGAAATTCCCCCGTTTTCTGAGAGTTTTTGTCACGAATTGGTGTGGGTTCCGTCAAATGCTTATTCTGCATCAACTGACATAATTATGTGATTTCTCTTCTTTTGTCTGTTAATGTACTGTATTGCATTAATTGATTTTCAAATATTGAACAAGCCTTGCATCTCTGAGACGCATGGTGTATAATTCTTTTTATGTGTTTGTGGATTCTATTTGCTAGTATTTTTCTAAGGAGTTTTGTGTCTATATTAATGAGGCATATTGCTATGTAGCCTTTTTTTTAACTTTTTCTGGATTAGGAAGTATCAGAGTAATACTGGTTTCATAGAATGAATTGAAAAGTGTTTGATTTGGACTTATGACAACAACAATTTTGTGCAATTTTATTTTTATTTTTTTATCTTGAGATGGGGGTCTTCCTATGTTGCTCAGGCTGGTCTCGAACTCCTGAGCTGAAGGGATCCTCCTGCCTCGTCCTCCAACAGAGCTGGGATTACAGGTGTGAACCACCATACCTGACCAATTTTGGGCAATTTTAAATACAATGATGGAAATGATGAAAGACTATCATTGATAATAATAAAGTCAAATTTCATATTCCAGATGAAAATTATATGGTTTTCACTCTTAGAGAAGTCCTTCATGGATGCCTGTATAGGAAAAAGACTATTCCCCTATGTATCTGAGCTTGTACCATAGCACTCTAGACCTTTATTAAATCAAGAGGTGGGTGGGAGGTGAGAGATATAGGAAGGTGCAGTCCTTTCCCTCATTATTGGCTCTCATGCCTGTCTATGGTCTAGATTTTTTTTTTCAAATTATCTTTTCATAGTGAATAAGTCAGATGCATAACCACTTTGCTTATCATGATGTCATTGAGATAGAAAGTCTTCTGTAATAGTGGACATTTATTTTCACAAGTTTGTAGTTATAAGATTTCTAGAAGTCAATGAACTGTGAAACAAAGCCTATTTTAAATAAAAAATAAACAGGGAAACCACAAAGGGAATCCAGGTGCCAAAAATCACCAACTTTTCAAATTCTCTTCTCTCCCCAGGCTGGGGTGCAAAAAAGGTAGGATGGGTTTACATGAAAGGAACAATTTGGATTTTTCTGGCAGGGAGAACAGTGTACCCTAAAAGATACAGGAATAATTACTTAAATCACACTTTTATTTAACCTATCTGGCCAGTATGGAGATGAATAGTGGGTAATTGTAGAATTAATCAAGTTGTGATTTGAACTGAAACTGCTATTCTAGATGACGCGGCTTTCCTACAGCAAATCAACACGGCCCCCTGGCACCTGGGATACAGCTATTCATTTGCCAAATGTTATTTTTTCCCATTCAGCAAAGCTTGATTGTTATGAACATCGTGCTGGTTTATTACACTGATGACATACATATTGGACCTGGTGATCAAGAGGTAGCGAATACCATAGACGATTTATTAAGATACAAGTACACCACAGGGTGGGAGAAAAGCCCCATGAAAACTCAGGAGCCTGAACCTGAGTGAAGTTTTTAGATGATCTGGACCATGTTGGTTATTCAACATATTGTTGCACCTCATACCATTTATCGCTCAGAAAGTCACAGCATTTGGTGTGGGTGTTTGAAATTTGTAGACAACATATGCTACATTTAATTGTGCCACACCAATACACTCAGCAAGTAATCTGTAGGGTTGCATGTTTTCAGGGAGAGATCCAGAGCGAGAAAAGGCTCTGTGACAGGTCCATGCCACTTGACACTTATGACCATGTAGATTCAACAAGCACAGATCTTTTGACACATTGGGAGGCCACATGGAGTCTCTGGAAAGTCCCAATAGGAGAAAGATATACAGAAAACCCCAAGAGTTTTGAAGTAAACTATGTCCTTTACCACGAAAGAAGTATTTTCCTTTTGGCCACCAGCTTTGAGCTTGCTACTGGGTTGTGGCAAAGTCTGACTGCTTGACCAAGGGGCACCAAGGAACCATGTAAGTTCAGCTGCCTCTGAGAAATTTGGTGCTACTTGGTCCTCTATTGGAAGCGGCATATTTGAGACCAGACTCAAGCAGGTCTGGAAGGTATGGGAAAGTTGTTTGAGCAGGTGGCTCACGTCTCTGTGGCCCCTGCTGCTGCATGATCACCATTTCCTGGACTCACACCCAGAGTGTCATAGTGAGTTTCTCATGATCAGGTCTATTGGTCAAGGTTTCAAAAGGAAGCAAATGGTAGACTCAAGGGGTTGAAATGAGGAAAGTATAAACAAGGGAATTTTTTTTAAGAGAGGTGTGAGCAAGGCTTAGAGAATTAGTAATGCACAGTCAGGCTCTCAGGGACTGGCCACAGTTGATATGGCCACAGGCACTGCTAAGTGATCAAGCTGCCCACAGGCAGAGACCAACAATGAACCCCTAATAACATAGCATTCCATGGGGGGACTAGCCAGCCAACTGGACTGCCATTTGAAAGGTGCACCAGTTGGTTCTAACTTGACCAGGTACTAATTTTGTACATGGATTCACTTTTTTAAAATTCACATTTCTGCTGGCACTGTCATCCATTGACTTACTGAACCCGTTATTCACACTGACATAATGTGACACAAGAAAATCACTATAAGCCAGTGTGCTCATGCTGATGGAGTCCACTAGTTTAAACATGTTAGCTCATCACCCTGAAGCACCTAGTCTGAAAGCATAGTAGGATGGTTATACTGTTGAAGGTGCTAGCAAGTGTCACATGGATGATGCACATAAAAAGCAGATGGTGGTGCTTAAGTGGGTGGGCTCTTGACACAGCTCTGGTTGCATATGGGTGATTTTCTACTTGTGTGGCTGTCGACAAGTGACATTGTCATCCTGTTTTTCGTTTTAGTGACCTGCAAAATTGAGATAATAATAAAAGCCATCTGACAGGGTGTTTGTGTGCATTCAATGAGATAACGCCTATAAAGTGGTTAGCACAATCGCTGGCATGGTGTTAGCTTGGCAGTAAGGAAGGTCACACGTGTTAGGTGCTCGTGATTGTTATTTTTGTTTAGCGTCGTCAGCACATTAGTTGCCACAATCAAGTTTAGATCCATCTTTTAAAACCTTAGAGTGAGAAGAGAGTGGAAAGCACTAACTTTTGAGTTTGGTTCGTTTGGGTTCATTCGGACAGTTAGCCCGTGTAGCCGGCAGAGCTTATCACTGAATACAAGGACATTTGCGGGAGGGACATGGAAAACACAATCAAATGGAATAGGGAAGTCAAAGAGGAGCCTTGCTTTTGTGCGTCTCTGAACTATACACATGGCAGATGCGGGTGCTACGTGGGCTTTGGCGTGGCTGATTCGGTCCTTCCGAGCGCTTTCTCGTGACCCTGCGTGAGAGTGGCAGGCGACGTGCTGCCTCGGATTCCCAGGGCACAACCGCTGGCGGCGCTGCACTTGCTCGAAGGGGCTTCCCAGGGTTAGCTGCCAGTTTTTCCCGCCGTCTTGGGTCGCCGGCGGCGTTGGTTCCCTCACTGGGGGCCATCGCGGCCGGAGGCGGGGGTCGCAGCGGCTGCTCGGGGCGGCGCTGGGCGGGCGGGCGCTGGGTCCGCCCCGCCGGCATCCTTGGCCTGACTTCCTTCTGCAGTGAGCGGCCGGCCCAGCTGGAGGAAGCGGCGGCGGCGGCCACGATGAGTGCGGGCGACGCAGTGTGCACTGGCTGGCTCGTTAAGTCGCCCCCCGAGAGGAAGCTACAGCGCTACGTGAGTAGGGGCGCCGCCATCCCGCTGGGCCTTCGCGTCCCGGGGCACCCGCCCGCAGAGCGGCCGCGTGGTGGCCGCGGGAAGCCTCGGGGCTCCGGGCGCGCCAGGCGCAGCCGGTCCCCGCGCACGGTACTGCGGACGAGGCCGATCGACGGAAAGCGAAATCGCACGTCGAGCCAGCGTCGCCGCTGTGCAGGGCAGGGGGCCGGAGGCAAGGTGGCGCCTGCCCGCGGGGTTCAGGGACTCCGGACCAACGCTGACTCTAGCGGAGGGAAGCGGGTTGGGGCCACAATCCCAGGCGCCTGTCTCTGTGCAGGAGCGGGCAGGGAGACATCTCGAAAGGGTGCTCCTTTTCTCTGGCAGGTAGTGGCTCTCAGAGTGGGACGCGGCAGAGGATAGGGAGACTCATAGCCTTCATTCCCCCTGGACCGTAAGGAGTGACGAGTGCTGCTCTAGCAGCTGTCATCAGTCACTGCTGTCTGGAACCCTTCACATTCTAACTCCTTTCTCATCGTGTGACTCTTTTCAGCTTCTTCTTAATGCTGACACCTAGCTTTTTTAGTGCCATCAGGACAATTGACTTTTACTACTATGAAATTAGGAATACTTGTAAGAAGAGCACATCTTCCTACTTATTCCATTGCCGTTTCAAAATGTACTCCCGACACCTCAAACGTTCATTATCTCCATCTGAGTCCTCACGATACGGTCTTAAAAACATTCTGCTTACAGACCTGATTGCTACTCAGTCTTTTCCAGCCATGAGGAAGCACCACTTCAGTCCCCAGGGAGTTACATATAAATAGATATTAGGACTTCTTGCTTCTTTTAGGCTCGGAGTAGCTGCATGGATTCATCTTGTTCGTAATTTCTAATTTCTCTGCAACTTCCCTGCACCATTGTAGGAAAAAACTCTCCCATGTCTGCACTCATCCAAAGCAGCCCACCAAAAATGTACTTCTGCCTGGTGCTCTGATCTATGCAATGTTCTCAAACTGCTGTCTTCTTTTCGCCAAACTTCACAAGTGTTTTTCTTCCCACATACTGTGTGGATAAAGAGGTGGGATTACAAAAAGATTTTAATATGTATGAATACTTCCAGAATGTATGCCAGAAGATTCTCCCCATTCACCGCAGGCTAGACACTGTTTCTCTCTTAGGGGTCTTTGAAAAGATTTCTGCCGTCTGCAGAACACAGCTTTAGAGTAAGCTTGTTCCACTTAGCAAGTGAATATCAGGACTGCATCAACACTGAGACTTCTCTAACTGCCAGTTTCTACCTACATCATTTGCTTTTGAGTCCAGGAGTCCATAATCACATGGTCCAATACCTCCTGGCCTCTGCATTACTCAGCTGCTTCCTTAACTGTTAAGCTACTTAAAGGAGGCAATAGAAGAACACCTCCTCCCATCACCTACATGAACAGATGAGGCTTTTGCCACACAGTACTGCTTGCATCACTGACTCAGGATGGGTTTCCTTGTTGTCCTTTGGAATGACAGACATTTTAAAGGTTCACTATACAGTTTCAGTAGATGATTCAGAAATATGCCACCTGCATCTTTGCCTGCAGTGCAAAGATTATACAATAGTTGGTTTCCAAGTCTTTTTTTGTATCTCGTCTTAAGTAGACTGGCTTAGAGAAGTTTTTTAGTGTTCCATCAACGTTGGAAAGGCATGGGTGTGTGTGCTTATTATCACACAAGGTTCATTCCTTTAGGGTAGAACAGGGATGAGGCAAGGGTGCACATTGTGAAACTTAGAGATACGTGGGGCAGTGACCAGAGGTGTCATCTTACCAGCACTCCAAGGCATAAACCCTGATGGTCGGGAACACTCTCTAAGAAAGATCATAGATAGTCAATGCTTTTCTGCTGACAGTTTTTTTCATCTCCTAGCTAAATTCTGCAGGAATCCTTTTTACCACTAGATGGTGATCATGTGGCACTGCGTCGGGGCCTGGGCAGGGCTGTTACAGCTGCTTCAATTCAACTCCTGTCAGTCCCTCCCATTAACAGAGCACTAACTCCAAACCAGGGCCTGTGTTACAGGCTGGGAAGACAGAGAAAAAACACTTGATTCCAGTTTATAGTTTAACATTTATAATAATAGCATAGCAAAGCTAGTTATTGGCACAACCAGGACAATAACTCAGTTCTTTGTGCTTCCAGCAAGCAGCACTCCATCAATGTTGGCTGTTACAAACAGAAGCTCTGGCTGGTTTTGGGCAAACTTTTCAGTCCAAAGTAAGCTTCTACTGCATCCACTTGAATCCATCAGTTAACACAATCACAAAGTTATTTCTTATCATTGGTATTTTTAAAAATTATTTTCATTTGTATTTTTTGTTTTATAAGTAAGAAATATAATCTTATGTTAATAAATAGAATGAAAACTGAAGACCCCCTTTAAATTTCCCTACCCCCGACCTTCCCTTTCCTCTCCTTCTCATTCCACTCCCCAGCCCAGGGATAACAACTGTTAGCAGTTTACTGAGTACCAGTCTACAAAATTTTCCAGAAAATATACAATGTTCTTATTGCAGAACTGGGCTCATATTATACTGACTGCCCTGCAACTTGCTTTGTTCACGCCAATTCTGAACACCTTTCCAGGTTAGTACATACAGATTTACTGCATTCTTTAAACCACTGTCAAATATTCCTTGTAATATATATATAACATAATTTAACAATTCGTTGATGAACATTTTGCTTGTATCTTTTTACCAATTTTAAAGAATCCTATAATAACAGTAGTAATAAAGCTACAATAGTTCACTTTTCTTGAATGGTTTATATGTGCCAGGCACTACACTAAGGACTTGTATTAACTCCTTAGTGTTTAAAACAATACCAAGAACCAGGCGCTGTTTTTGTCTCTGGATATAGGTTCTTTGTTGCATGTTTAATATTATCTAGCAGCCCATAGTTTCGTCTTTTCATTCTCTTTTGAAGAACTAAAATTTAAAAATGTTAATGAAATCCCCAATACAATTTTTCTTTTGTGAATCATGCATTTATGTCAAATCTAACAACTCTTCATCTAGCCTAAGATCCTGAAGATTTTCTTCTGTTTTTTTCTAAAAGTTTTTTTTTTTTTTTCTTTTTGGGACAAGGTCTCACCTTGTCATCCAGGCTGGAGTGCGGTGGCATGGTCATGGCTCACTGCAGTCCTGACCTCTTGGGCTCAAGTGATCCTCCCACTTCAGTCTCCTGAGTAGCTGGAACTATAGCCACTCCCCACCACGCCCTGAAAATTATTGTATTTTTTGTAGAGAGGACAGAATTTCTCCATGTTGCCCACAGGCTGGTCTCCAACTCCTGGCCTCAAGCAATCCTTCCACCTTGGCCTTCTAAAGTGCTGAGATTACAGGCGTGAGCCCCTGCACCTGGCCTCTAAAACTTTTATAATTTTACATTTTATATTTAGATCTATGATCCATTTTGAGTAATTTTTATAAAAACTGTGAGCTTTATATCATGGTTTGTTTTCTTGCATACCAATTTCATTTGTTCCAGTACTATTTATTTAGTACACTGCCCTTACTCCATTGATGTCCTTCTGCAACTACATCAAAAATCAATTTACCTGAAGGACGCAATGTTTCCTGCCTGTAATCCCAGCACTTTGGGAGGCTGAGGTGGGAGGATCACCTGAGGTCAGGAGTTAGAGACCAGCCTGACCAACATGGTGAAACTCCCTCTCTACTAAAAATACAAAAAAAAAAAAAAAATAGCTAGGTGTGGCGGTGGGTGCCTGTAATCCCAGCTACTCGGGAGGCTGAGGCAGGAGAATTGCTTGAACCCAGGAGGCAGAGGTTGCAGTGAGCCGAGATCGTGCCATTGCACTCCAGTCTGGGCGACAAGAGTAAAACTCCGTATTAAAAAAAAATCAATTTACCATATCTATGTAGATCTATTTCTGGATTCTATAGTCTCTTCCATTCATCTATTTGTTCTATACCAACAACATGCTGTTTAATGACTGTAGCTTTATAATAATTCTTGAAATCAGTTAATTTTAGCCCTCAAACTTTTTCTTTGTCAGAGTTGTTTTGGCTATTTTAGGTTCTTTGCTTTTCTATATCAATTTTAGAATTGGTTTGTCAATTGATTTCACTGACCTCATAGCCCATAGCCTTGCTAAACTCACCTATTAGTTCTAATAGCCTTGTCTGTGGTTGCAACCTGCAATACTATAAATGTTGCATAAAAATAACAAGAGTAGACATCCTTGATCTTAGAGGGAAAGCATTCCATTTTTCACCTTTTAAGTATGTTAGCTGTAGGCTTTTTGTAGGCACCTTTTACCAAATTGAGGAAGTTCCCCCATGTTACTAGTTTGCTGAGATTTCTTCTCGTGAGTTAAATTTTGTTAATTGCATTTCCTGCATCTGTAAAAATGATAATATGTTTTTTATTTTTTAGTCTGTTACTATGGCGAATTATGCTGCTTGATTTTGATTGTTTAACCAGCCTTGAACTTCTGGGATAAACTTTAGTTAGTTGTAACATATCATTCTTTTCATATATTTCTGGATTTGCTTTGCTGATATTTTTGCTAAAGATATTTGTGTCTCTGTCCATGGGGGATATTGGTCTGCAGTTTTCCTTTTTTGTACTATCTTTGGTTTTGATATTAGCATAATGCTGGCATCATAAAATGAAATCAGAAGTTCTCCCTCTTCTTGTATTTTCTGAAAGATGTTGCATAGAATTGGTATTCCTTATTCCTTAAATGTTTGATAGAATTTACCATTGAAAATGTCTGGGCCCATACTTTTCTTTTTGGGAAGGCTATCAACTACAAATTTTATTTATTTTTTCTTTCTTTTTTTTTTTTTTTTTTTTTTTTGAGATGGAGTTTCACTCTTGTCACCCAGGCTGGAGTGCAGTGGCACAATCTTGGCTCACTACAACCTCTGCCTCCTGGGTTCAAGCAATTCTCCAGCCTCAGCCTCCTGAGTAGCTGGGATTACAGGTGCTCACCACCATGC